TAATACTAGAAAATTATAATTTTCTTAAATAAATTTACAATTTATTACTTTAATCAGACATAGTATTATTTATAAATTAATTTCTTACCTAAATGATTGTGCCTGAAAAAGGAGTATTTTGATAGAATAAATCATATAAAATTTAATTTTTATCATCATTAAATTATATAAATCAGCTAAATTAAGCTAGTAGGTTCATACCCTAAAAATATAATAACATTATTTTATATATTATAACTATAATTATATTTGATAATTATCTTATCACTTAAAATCCCAAAAATTTTTATGCTTTTTACATTAAAATATAATTTATTTTTATGAATAAATCAAAATTACAACAAAATTTACAACCCTATTTACCTTCATATTCAATCTCTAATCCAAATAAATTATTCTATTTTATTTTATTTTCTATATCCATAATTTCTGTTTTATCTATATTTTTTTCCAACTTTATTCATTTATGAGTCCTTATAGAAATTAATACCCTTCTTATAATCTCAATAATAAGTATTTATACAAAAAGATATAAATCAGTTATAAACTTTTTTGCTATTCAATCTTTTTCAAGTCTTATTTTAATTTATCTTCTTATAGTTAAAAATAATATTGATTCCACTAATCCAACTTATTCATCAATTAACTTTATATTAACTTTATCATTTTCTCTAAAATTAGGCCTCTTCCCTTTCTTTTTTTGACCTCCTCTAATTAATAAAAATATTTCATGAACTATACTACTAATAATATCTACCTCACAAAAATTTGTTCCCTTATTAATTTTTAATATGTTTATTGATCAATTTACAAATAATCAAATTATATTCTCTATCATTTTTATCTCCATTTTATCTTCAAGAATTTCAACAATTATAAATTCATATGAAACAAACCTAAAAAAAATTATAACCTTATCTTCAACTAATCATCTTAGATGAATATTAATAGTTATCATATTTGATTCAAATATATTTTTAATCTATTTTATTACTTACACCTTATCAATAATTTTTTTATGTTCAATTTTTAATAAACTTAATATTATTTTTATTCACTCTCTATCTAAAATTCAATTATTTAATTTTAAAATAATTAATTTCTTTATTATTTTAAACTTATTAATCATTAGGGGTCTACCTCCTTTTTTTACCTTTATTATAAAAATTAACATCCTAAAAATTATAATTGAAGGAAATGCCTATCTTGCCTCTTTTCTTTTAATAGCTATATCTACTTTTACATTAATTTTCTATTTAAATATTATTATAAAAATAAATACACTTAATCTTCTAAAAATCAAATTTTATAAATTTAATATATTTGATATAAAATTTAATTTTATATCAATTTTATATATTAGAATTTTAACCTTAATACTTGCCTTCTTTGCTCTTTTTATTTACCCATAATAATTAATAAGATTTTAAGATAACTTAATCATTTAGCCTTCAAAGCTAAAAATATAAAATATTTTATAAATCTTAATATAATTTTACTTATTATCTTTAAACTTGCAATTTACTATTTTAATTAAACTATTAAGACAAATTCATTTCTTATTATTTATGACAAAATGATTATACTCAACAAATCACAAAGATATCGGAATATTATATTTTATTTTTGCCTTATGATCAGGAACCATTGGAGCATCCATAAGATTAATTATTCGAATAGAACTTAGATCCCCCGGCAATCTAATTAATAATGACCAAATTTACAATTCTATTATTACTGCTCACGCATTCATTATAATTTTTTTTATAGTTATACCCTTTATAATTGGAGGATTTGGAAATTGATTAATCCCATTAATATTAGGTATCCCAGACATAGCATTCCCCCGAATAAATAATATAAGATTTTGACTTCTTCCTCCTTCATTATTCCTTCTAATTATAAGAAACTTTATTGGAGGGGGTGTTGGTACAGGATGAACTCTTTATCCGCCTCTATCATCCATTATTGGACATAATTCTCCTTCAGTAGATCTAAGAATTTTTTCTCTTCATATTGCAGGAATTTCCTCAATTATAGGAGCAATTAATTTTATTGTAACAATTCTAAATATACATGTCAAAACTCATTCATTAAATTTTTTACCATTATTCTCTTGATCAGTCTTAATTACAGCATTCTTACTACTTTTATCTTTACCTGTTTTAGCTGGGGCAATCACTATACTTTTAACAGATCGAAATTTTAATACATCCTTTTTCGATCCAACTGGGGGCGGGGACCCTATCTTATACCAACATTTATTCTGATTTTTTGGTCATCCAGAAGTATATATTTTAATTCTCCCAGGATTTGGAATTATTTCCCATATTATCACTAATGAAAGAGGAAAAAAGGAAATTTTTGGTTCATTAGGAATAATCTACGCTATACTCGCTATTGGTCTATTAGGATTTATCGTATGAGCACATCATATATTTACAGTGGGTCTCGATATCGATACCCGAGCTTATTTTACTTCAGCAACAATAATTATTGCTATTCCTACTGGTATTAAAGTATTTAGGTGACTTGCAACTATCTATGGGTCAAAAATCCAATTCTCACCAGCTATAATTTGAAGAATAGGATTTATCTTTCTATTTACAATAGGAGGATTAACTGGAATTATTCTATCTAATTCATCCTTAGATATTATTCTTCATGATACCTATTATGTAATTGGCCATTTTCATTATGTTCTATCTATAGGGGCAGTATTTGCTATTATCGCAGGATTTATCCACTGATACCCTCTAATTTTTGGATTATCAATAAATAAACTATGACTAAAAATCCAATTTACTTCAATATTTATTGGAGTAAATATAACTTTTTTCCCTCATCATTTTCTAGGTTTAGCAGGATTCCCTCGACGTTATTCCGACTATCCTGATATATACACTCCTTGAAATGTTATCTCTTCAATTGGCTCTATAATTTCTTTTTTTTCTATAATTTTTTTTATTTTTATTATTTGAGAATCTTTTATATCACAACGAATTATCTTATATAAATTTTTTATATCTCCTAATTTAGAATGAAACCACTCCTATCCACCAATAATCCACTCTTATCAAGAAATTCCCTATACTACTAATTAATATTATAATATAGCAAATTAGTGCATTGATTTTAAACATCAAATATAAAAAATTTTAAATATTTTTTTATTATAAATTCAAACATGATTAAATTTTTATATCCAAGATTCTAACACTCCTAATATAAATCAACTAATTATATTCCATGACTACTCTATACTTATATTAATCCTTATTACAAGATTAATTACATATATATTTATTTTCCTTATTACTAATAAAATTACCAATCGATTTATAACTAATGAACATTTTATTGAAACAATCTGAACTATTACACCTATATTAACTCTACTGCTTATTGCTATTCCATCATTAAAAATCTTATACATAACAGAAGAATTTTTCTCCCCAGCAATTACAGTTAAAGCTATTGGTCATCAATGATACTGAAGATATGAACTATCAGATTATAAAAATATCAGATTTGACTCTTATATAATCCCTTATAAAAAAATAAATCAATCCCAATTTCGACTCCTAGATGTAGATAATCGATTAATTCTTCCATTTGATATCCCTATTCGAGTATTAACTACATCCACAGATGTAATTCATTCATGAGCTGTCCCTGCTTTAGGAATTAAAATTGATGCTACTCCAGGACGAATAAATCAAACATTTATTCAAATAATTCGTCCTGGTATTTTTTTTGGCCAATGTTCAGAAATTTGTGGTATAAATCATAGATTTATACCAATTATAATTGAATCTACATCCTTAAATTTATTTATCAAATGAATTAATTCTATATAATTTTAATCATTAAGAAACTTTAAAGAAGTAAAAGTCTCTTAAACTTTTAATGGTTATTAAAAATTAACCCTTAATGACAATAATAAACCTAAAAAATTTCTCCAATTTATCTCTTGCTATTACCCTTTACTTCATTTATATATATATATATAATTTAAAAAGATTAGTTAATATATAACATTTAAATGTCATTTAAAAATTATTAATTTTATTAATATCTTTTTATCCCACAATTAAGTCCACTAAAATGGTTAATTCTCTATATCTCTACTATTACTATCACAACTCTAATTATTATTAAAATAAATTATTTTTTCTCAAATAAAATCAATTTTTCAAAAACTTCACCTTTCCTATCTTATAAACAAATAAAATGAAAAACACTTATCTAATATATGATATCAAATCTATTCTCCATTTTTGACCCTTACACCTCTATGAATTACTCCTTTAATTGATTAAGTCTTATAATTCCTTTATTTTTTTTTCCTAATCAATTCTGATTTAAAAAATCTAAAATATTTATATTTTGACTTTTTATTAATAATTTCCTATTAAAAGAATTTAAAAATTTTAAAAAAAATAATATAACTAATATTATTTCTTTCTTTTCTATATTTATAATGATTCTAATTATAAACTTTATTGGGCTATTTCCTTATATTTTTACCCCTTCAAGTCATCTATCTATTACTCTTCCTCTTTCTCTAACAATCTGATTAAGAATTATACTTTACTATTGAACTAAAATAACAAATTTAAGATTTGCTCACCTTGTCCCTCTTAATACCCCTTCAATTTTAATAATATTTATAGTCCTAATTGAAACAATTAGAAATATTATTCGCCCTATTACATTATCAATTCGTTTATCTGCAAATATAATTGCAGGTCATCTTCTTTTATGTCTTCTCGGATCAACTGGAACCTCAATAAATCTCCACTTAATTAATTTATTAATTATTACACAAATCTTACTTTTTTTACTCGAATTAGCTGTTTCAATTATTCAATCATATGTATTTATAACTTTAATATCACTCTACTCTAATGAATTATAAAATGAACAAATCAAATCACCCTTATCATATAGTTTCAATCAGCCCATGACCTCTAATTCTATCAATTAATATCATATTATTCCTTATTAGATTAATTAAATGATTCTATTTCATAAATATTAATTTAATAATTATATCTTCAATTTCTTTAATCTTAACTTTAATTCAATGATGACGTGATATTATTCGAGAAAGAACATTCCAAGGTATACATACATCTAATATTATAAAAAATCTAAAATTAAGAATAATCTTATTTATCACATCTGAGATTTTTTTTTTCATCTCCTTATTTTGAGCATACTTCCACTCTTCTTTATCTCCTAGAATCGAAATTGGAATAATATGACCTCCAAAAAATATTATTATATTTAATCCTTATGATATTCCTCTATTAAATTCTATTATCTTAATTACATCAGGAATCACAATTACCTGATCTCATAACTCTCTCCTCAATAAAAAAAATAAAATAGCCCTCTTCACTTTATTATACACAATTTATTTAAGATTTATATTTACTATATGTCAATATTTTGAATATAAAAGAGCTTCTTTTACTATCGCTGATTCAATCTTTGGATCAATTTTCTTTATAACTACTGGATTCCACGGAATTCATGTAATTATTGGCACAATTTTTCTTATTGTATGTATATTTCGTATAATTTTTAATCATTTTTCTAGGAATCATCACTTTGGATTTGAAGCTGCTATCTGATACTGACATTTTGTAGATATTGTCTGATTATTTGTATATACATGACTTTACTGATGATCTTTTTACTTATATAGTATATTAATTACATTTAACTTCCAATTAAAAAAATTATTTTTAACAAATAATATAAGTAATAATTATTTTTATTACCTCTATTATTCCTCTCATATTTACTATTATTCTTATCATAATTAATATACTCTTATCCCTTAAAGTTTTTCAAGATCGAGAAAAACCATCTCCATACGAATGTGGATTTAATCCTTTAACTTCGCCTCATCTCCCATTTTCTATTCAATTTTATTTAGTTGCTGTAATTTTTTTAATCTTTGATATTGAAATTATTTTTATACTTCCCTTTAACCCCTCTCTAACAATAAACTACTATCTATTTTATTGAATACAATCATTCCTAATGATTTATATTTGCTTAGTTATTGGACTAATTTACGAATGAAATGAACAATCAATTATTTGACTTAAATAAATATTTAAATAGGATATTAGTTAAAAAATAACATTTATTTTGCAAATAAAAATTAAAATTAATTAAATTTATATCTTTAATATGAATGGAAAATCCAATTTAATTTCGACTTAAATATTTGATTATTAAAACTAATCCATATTATCTTTATCTATCTTATATAAATTTTTAATTGAAGCCAAAATAGAGGCAAATTATTGTTAATAATTAAACTGAATAATTTTTTTTCCAATTAAATTTCAACTTTTTAACTCCCTCATCTTTTACTTAACTTTCTAATTTCAATTAATTTATATAGTTTAATTAAAACATTTTATTTTCAATAAAAAAATAATATACTTTATATTTATAAATTAAATTTAATATATTAAAAAGAAATAACTTCATATAAAGCTTCTAACTTTATCACAATGATTAAAAATCATTTTATTTCTTCTATTATTAATTAATTTACTAATTTATTAATTTATTAATTTTTATTTTTATTTTTATTTTTATTTTTATTCCAACCTAATTCTCTTCTTCATTTAAAAACAATTTATGTTACCGTAATATCTTCAATATTAAACTCTTACCTTAAGCTATTTAAATAATTAAATTTAATTTCCATAAATTAATATTATTATAAAAACTAATATTCATATAAACATAAATAAATTCATGTACATAAATTTATCCAATATTAATAAATCTAATAAGTTTACAATAAATCTTTTTTTTACTCCATAAATAAATAAATATTCTAAAACACCTTTATCAAATCTCTTATATATTAACATAGAAAATTTTAAAGGATAATATCTAATTTTTATATAAATTAAATTTAACCCCCATATTCTAGAAAAATATATTTTTCTATAATTTCTCAAATTTAACATATTAAAAAATCTTATAAATCAACCTAAAATACATCCCACTAAACAAATCTGTATAACTATTAATTTTTCAAATAAATTTAAAATAATTAAAGTAAAATTTATTAAATTTATATAAAAATATCCAATTATCAAAGAATAAAAATATAAAATAATTAATGATACTCTTATTATTGCCCTTTCTCCTAATAAAATAAAATAATTTATTTTATTTATATAACTTAAATATACTATAATAATTAAACGAATACTATAAGAAACCGTAAATATTGTAGAAACTAATAATATTAATATTCTTACTATATTTATCTTTCTTATTAAAAAAACTTCTATAATTAAATCCTTAGAATAATACCCAGAAAAAAAAGGAAACCCACATAATGATAATAACGATACAAAAAATACAAGCCTAACAAAAGGATAATATCTAACTAATCTCCCTATAAATCGAATATCCTGATTATTATTTATTTGATGAATTAATACCCCTCTACATATAAATAATAAAGATTTAAATAAAGCATGAATTAATAAATGTATAAACCCCAAATCTACTTCTCCTAACCTCAAAATTCTCATTATTAACCCTAATTGTCTTAATGTAGATAATGCAATAATCTTCTTTAAATCATTTTCAAAATTAGCTATTAATCCAGATATTATTATTGTAGACCTAGAAATAAATAATATTAAACTTATTAAATGATTTCTTATCAAATACCTATTATATCGTATTAATAAATAAACTCCAGCTGTTACTAAAGTTGAAGAATGAACCAAAGAAGAAACAGGGGTAGGAGCAGCTATCGCTAAAGGTAATCAAGAAGAAAATGGTAACTGAGCTCTTTTTGTAAATGCTCTCAATATTATTAATAAAGAAAAATAAAAATAATCAAATCTATAAAATATCCCATTTCATGACCCTAACATAACTATTAACCTAATTATCATTAAAATACCTACATCACCAATACGATTTAATAAAACTGTAATTATTCCAGAAGTAAAGGACTTTCAATTATGATAATAAATCACTAAGCAATAAGAAATTAAACCTAACCCATCCCATCCTAATAACAATCCCATAATATTAGGACAAATAATTAATATTAATATTCTTAAAACAAATATAATTACTAATAAAAAAAATCGATTAATATTTATATCCCCCTCTATATATCTTAATCTATATAATATTACAAATCTAGAAATTATTAAAACTAACCTAAAAAATATTATAGATACTCAATCTACATAAAAAATAAATTCTATATTTATTGAATTTATTCTTATAAAAACCCATTCTATTAATAATCTTAATTTCATTAGTATCAAAATTATAGATAAAATTATAAATCCTAACCTAAAAAAAAAAAAAAAAAAAATATTCATTAATAATATAATTTAAAATATTACTTACTTTTATATCTTTAGATCCACACTCTAATATTTTCTTTTATTAAACTATTTAAATACACCTAATCTTCTTTCTTTCTTCTTCTCTTTTTCTTCTTTCTTCTTTCTTTCTTTCTTTCTTCTTCTCTTTTTCTTCTTTCTTCTTTCTTTCTTTCTTTCTTTCTTAATTACCTTTACTTTATTATAAATCTATATTATAAATATTCCTATTCTTAAAAATAAAAAATTTAAAGGAATTCAGTGTAAAATTAATATAAAATAATCTTTTACAAATACATTTTTATAATTCATTTGTAAAACCAGCCTTTCTCCATGTTGCCTTAATCTAAATAAATACAAGGAATAAGTAGCTCTTAAAAAACATATAACTATTAATATTCCTATAACTCTAACTCTTCACCTTATTAACCCTATTAATAAAAAAATTTCTCTAATTAAATTTAAACTAACAGGGGCTGATAAATTAGAAGAACATATTAAAAATCATATTAATCTCAAAGAAGGATTAATACTTATTGAACCTTTATTTAAATAAATTAATCGTCTTCCAAAACATTCATAATTAATATTTACAATATAAAATAACCCAGATGAGCATAATCCATGGGCTAATATTATTATTAAACCTCCAATTAACCCTATCTTAGTCAATGTAACTATCCCTCTAATTAAAAGTCTTATATGAACAATAGATGAATAAGCCACTAATATCTTTATATCAACTTGAATTAAGCATAATAATCTTATTAAAATACCCCCAATAACTCCTAAAGTAATTATTATATGTCTTCACTGAATTGTATTATACCTAAAAATTTGCACCATACGCAATATCCCATATCTACCTAATTTTAATAAAACTCCAGCTAAAATTATAGACCCATAAACTGGGGCCTCAACATGAGCCTTAGGTAATCAAATATGAAAAAGAAATGTTGGTAATTTAACTATAAATCCTATCAAACATAAAAAAAATATAACTCTATCTAATTTTAAATTTAAAAAAATTAATATTATAATTATTAACCTTTTATACTCAAAAAATAATATAATTAATACCCATATAAAAGGGACTGAAGATACAGCAGTATATATTATTATATATATTGCAGCTTCATATCGTTCATATGCATAACCTCCATATAAAATTAAAAAAAAAATCGGTAATAGTCTAGCTTCAAAAATTAAATAAAATATTATTAAATTTATAGAAAAAAAACATAATATTAATAAATTTATTAAACCTAAAACTATTAATTCTATTAAGTCTGCTATATTAATAATTAATATACACCCTCTAATTCATAAACTTAAAATTACTAATATATAAGAATAATAATCTATAAAAAATAACCCCCCCCCAATTCATATATTCCTAGAATAATATAATAATATTGTTAATATATACCTAGATGCACAAAATATAATAATTGACTTACTAAATTTAATACTCTTAAATTTTATCAACCTAATACTTATAAATAATATCAAAATTAATTTTATCATACTAATCTTAAACTTTTTATATATTCATTACCCTTATAACGGATAATTAAAACAACTATGGAAATTCCCATAACCCCCTCTATTACAAATATAACTATAAAAATTAATATATAAAACTCTATTCTTAAATTTATTAATATTATAAAGATATTAAATAATACAATAACAACAACAAATTCAATACAAATTAATAATATCAATACATGATCATAAAATTTTCATATTAAAAATGATCTTATTAAAAATAAAATTAATCCAAATATATAATTTAATAAAATTTTATCACAAATTAACTATATATATATATTTATACTATATTAAATATAAATTAATATGCTATTTAGCTTAATAGTTTAATAAAACATAAATTTTGTAAATTTAAATTAAATATATAATTATTTTTAAGCTTTAATTTCAAAAAAATAAATAACTTTATATCTTTAATTTCCAAAATTAAAATTTTCTTTAAACTATCTTTTGTCTAAAATTTATACTATTCAATGCTTAAATCAATAACTAACTCTTTTTGTTTTTTAATACTACTCATCCTATTATATTTTATCCTACACCCACAATTATCTATTATCCAATCAATAACCTTATTAATATTATTTACAGTCTATACTTGCCTTTCATTAAGGGCTTTCTTCACTTTTTCACTTTACTCATTCCTAATTTTTTTAATGATTATTGGAGGATTAATAATTTTATTTATAATATTTCTTAGTCTTATCTCAAATCAATATATACCCTCAAAATGAAAAAGCTTATTTTTACCAATATCTATCATTCTACCTCTTTTAATTATAACAATTATCTCACAAGAACCATCATTAATAAACTTAAATATAAATTATATTAACATATCTGTTAATTATTTATTTAATAATAGATCATTTTTAAATTTAAATATACTATTAAATCTACCCTTCAATTTTTATGTTATTGCTCTAATATTTTTCCTCTTATTTAGTCTTATTTTAATTACAAAAATTTGTTTAATTAATTCAAAACCTTTACGAACAATCAAAAAATAATTTAATGAATAAATCATTTATATATAATAATACTTTATTAAAAATTATTATAAATTCTTTTATTTCTTTACCCACACCAATTAATATTAATTACTGATGAAACTTAGGATCTTTACTTGGCCTATCTCTTTTAATTCAATTAATTTCTGGAATTTTTTTATCTATACATTACTGTCCCTCAACTGAAATAGCCTTTAACAGAATTATTTTAATCATACAAGATATAAATTATGGTTGAATTATACGGATTATTCACAGTAATGGGGCTTCAATTTTTTTTATTTGTATATACATCCATATCGGCCGAGGAATCTACTACCAATCTTTTAATTTAGTAAAAACATGAATTATTGGAGTCATAATTCTCCTTTTAACTATGATAACAGCATTTTTAGGGTATGTACTACCCTGAGGACAAATATCCTTTTGAGGAGCGACTGTTATTACTAATCTTCTATCTGCAATTCCCTATATTGGCCAAACTTTAGTAGAGTGAATTTGGGGGGGATTCGCTGTAGATCTCCCAACACTTAATCGATTTTATTCATTTCATTTTATCTTACCTTTCATCATTACATTTATAGTAATTATTCACTTAACCCTCCTTCATGAATCTGGGTCTTCAAATCCAATAGGGATTAATAGTAATATATATAAAATTTTATTTCATAAAAATTTTTCCTTAAAAGACTTAATTACTTTTATTATTTTAATTATTACTTTTTTCTATTTTATATTCCAATACCCTTTTCTTTTAAGTGACCCAGATAATTTTATTAAAGCTAATTCAATAATTACTCCTATCCATATTAAACCAGAATGGTACTTCTTATTCGCCTATGCTATTCTCCGAGGCATCCCCAATAAATTAGGGGGAGTAATTGCTCTTCTATCTGCAATCTTAATTTTATTAATTCTCCCTTTTATTAGAACTCCCCATAAATTTAATTTTAAATTTAACCCTCTTTATCAAATTAATTTTTGAATACTTTTTTCGACATTTTATATACTAACTTGATTAGGAGGACAAGAAATTGAAACTCCATTTATTGAATTAACTCAATTATACTCAATCCTATATTTTATGCTTTTCATAAATATAAACTGACTCAATAAAATTTGATTAACTCTTTTATTAGATAAATAATAAATTATATTAATTAGTTAATAAGCAATAATGCATATATTTTGAAAATATAATTATAGAAATTAAAATTTTCTATTAACTTATTATATATAAATACTTCAATAATTCATTTAATTAAATTCTAAATTTAATGCACTAATCTGCCAATATAATTTTATTATTTAAATATAAACTTAAAAAAATCTTTTAATAAAATTTTATTACATTAAACTTTTTAATGTATAAATTTTACCTTTTTATCTATAATAAAAAATTATTATTTATATTTTAATTAATATATTAAATATAAATAATACTTAAAAATAAATACTATTAATAAATTTAATATAACTAATCTTAAAATATAATATCAACAAAAATATATTAAATTATCATATCGTATCCGAGGTAAACATCCTCGAATTCAAATTACTAAAATTATAAATATCAATACTAATAAAATTCTAATTAAATTTATTATATTTCCTCCAAAATTTATTAAAACAAATAAAATACCTAAAACTATAATTATTATATATTCCCCCAAAAAAATTAAAGTAAATCTTCCACTTATATATTCAATATTAAATCCAGATACTAGCTCTGACTCACCTTCAATAAAATCAAAAGGTATTCGATTTAATTCAGCTACTATTCTTAAAAATATTATTATACAAACTATAAAATTTATATATCAAAATTTTAAAATCCCTCTTTGATAGACTAAAAAATCAATTAATTTAAAACTTTCTACATAAAAAAATATAACAAAAAAAATTAAAAATATTGATACCTCATAAGATAAGGACTGAGCTACAGATCGAACCCCTCCCAAAATAGCATACATAGAATTTGAAGACCAACCACTTATTATAATAATATAAACCCCTAATCTTAAACATCTCATTATATATAATAAAAATAAATTTATACAAAATAAATTTTCATTAAACGGAATCCTAATTGCTAACATTAACACTATAAAAAATCCAACTATAGGACTCATAAAATAAAATAAATAATTTAATTTATACAATTTTACATTCTCCTTTACAAATAATTTAATTGCATCTCCAAATGATTGAAACACTCCTAATAATAAAACCTTATTAGGACCTTTTCGATCCTGAATATACCCAAGAATTTTACGTTCTAATAATACAAAAAATGCCACTCCTACTAAAATCCCAATAATTATTACAATCAATCTAATAAAAATAAAAAATATATCTTTTACATAAATCTTACCTTCCAATATAATTTATTTTTAAATAAATATTTTAAAGTTTTTTTATTTATACACTACCCGCTCTAGCACTATAAATTCATAATTTAATTTTATTCATTAAAATTAACTTTTTATTAATCTTTATTATAAAATATTTAATATTTTAAGTCCTTTCGTACAATAAAATATACTTTTTTTATAGATAGAAACCGATCTGGCTTTCACCGATCTGAACTCAAATCATGTATGATTTTAATAGTCGAACAGACTAAAAATTTAAATTTCTCCATTTAATTTTTATCATAATTCAACATCGAGGTCGCAAACAATTTTATCAATATGAACTCTCCAAAATTATAACGCTGTTATCCCTAAGGTAATTTATTCTAATAATTATAATAATAATCAAACTACTCATTAATCTATGTTTTAATCCTATTAAAGTTTAGCTATTTTAATTATCCTCCCAATAAAATATATTTGTCAATTAAATCTTATCAAAAAATTAATTTTAAAAAACAAATTTTATTAAATTCTATAGGGTCTTATCGTCTTATAAATTCATAAAAGCATTTTAACTTTTAATTTAAATTCAATATCATTATACTGAGACAATTTATATTTCATTCACTCTTTCATTCCAGTTTTCAATTAAAAAACAAATGATTTTGCTACCTTTGTACAGTCAATATACTGCAGCCTTTTAATCTTAATCAATGGGCAGAATAGACCTATTATTTATTATCAAATAAGCCATGTTTTTGATAAACAGGTGAATATATCTTTATATTAATAAAATTTTTGTCAAATTCCTTAATATAATTTTGAAATAATTAATTAATTATACAATTATAAATTTACTAATTTAATCATTATAACATTTAATTTTTTTATTAAATAATTTTTTTTTATATAAATAAAAACTCTATATCAAATCTATTTATCACATTAATATATAAATTATAACATTTTTTTTAAAAAATCCAAATTTTATAGATATTTCTATTATTTATTTAATTTTTAAGTTATTTATATATCCTTAGTTTATCCCAAAAATAATTAATTTATAAACTTATACTCATAAAAATAATTTTTATTCTTATAATTTATAAATCTGAATTATATTCAATTCTAAAAAAACTAGATATATTTAAAATCGGCTAACATTTCACTTCTATTTAAAAATTATTAATAATATTTCTACACTAACTAAAATTTTTAAATAAATCTATTAAATTCGAGAAATATTTAAATTTAAATATTTTTTTTAATTAACCCTTATACAAAAGGTACAATATATAAAATTTACTTTTTTCTTTTCTTTAAAAATCATTTTCATTACTATCAATAACATCAATTTTATTAATTCTCACTTTATACTTTAACTAAAAATTTTAATATTACTTTATTTAAAAATAATTATTACAAAACAAACTATATTAATTTATTTACAAAATCTTTCCTTATACTATAAAACCATTTATATTTAGTTATTTCAATTATTTAATTTTAAAAAATTTTAATTAATTTTATATTAATTATACTATTTATTGTAAATAAATTATTTTTATAAACTAAAATTTTTATAAATTTTTATCAATAGGCACCTTCCGGTACTTAAACTTTGTTACGACTTATTTCATTTTATTGAAAGTGACGGGCAATTTGTACATATTTAATTTATTATTCAATTTAATAAATTAATTAAATTTACTTTTAAATCCATTTTCATAAAAAATTTAAATTTTTTAATCCAATAATTAAATTAATTGTAACCCATATTAATCTTAACTAAGCTATATTTTGACTTGAATTATTTTAATAAATCTTATAAATTATATTTATCTAACTTAATTAAATATTAAAAACAGCAATACATAAACTTAAAATCAAGTATATCTTATCGTGGATTATCAATTAATATACAGGTTCCTCTAAATATTAAATACTGCCAAATCTTTTAAATTTAATGACCTATCATTTAATCTCTTTTAAATTATAATTACATTTATTATAATAGGGTATCTAATCCTAGTTTATTATATAAATTTCATAAAATTAAAATTTTTAAAAATTTTAATAATAATCTATTATATTTCACCAAATAATTAATTATTAATTAAACTTCTCTTTAAAAATAATTTTTACTTAAAATATCTAATTAACTTAAATAAAATAGTCTAACCGCTGATGCTGGCACTAATTTTTCCTATCTTTATCATTTTTATCTTATTCTAACTTTCATTAATTTTAATAAAATCTAAATATTACTCAATTTATAATTTTTTAATTATATATTATATAGTATTAATAAAATTCAATTAATTTATAAGCAAAAATTAAACTTAAATCTAATCTATTCTTTTATTTATATAATCTTTTTACTAGAAATAAATCTAACATTATAAAAAATTATTTTATATATTATATCTAATTAAATATATATACATTTATAAAATATATTTATGTTTTCATATATTAAATTTATTATTATAATATTAACATACTAATTTATTAATAAATATTTATATTATATAAATAATTATAATCTATAATTTATACTTATTAATATTTTCTTCTTATATTAATATTAAATTTTTTTAATTTAATAGTTATTTTTTTAAAAAAACTTATAAATATTTCTCTTTATAAAAATAATCTATATTAATATACAATGAAAGATTATTAATTTAAATACAAAATAATTATATTAAATTTATATTTTAATTATAAATAAATATTATTAATTTATAATTTCAAATTAATATTATAATTACCTATCTACATTATTAAAGATTATAAGAATAATTATTTTCTCCTTATTTAAATTTTTTCATATTTATCGTGTATGTTCTATAATATATGACATATCTTAAATACTTTATTAATTAGGAGAATAATTATTTTCTCCTTATTTAAATTTTTCTATATTTATCGTGTATGTTCTATAATATATGACATATCTTAAATACTTTATTAATTAGGAGAATAATTACTTTATTTAAATTTTTATATTTTATTATATATATATATTTAATATAAATATATATATATATATCTTAAAATTTACATCAAATATCAAAAAATTAATGAAATTTTACCTTTAGATTTTTTTTAATTCAATTTAAAGAAAAAAATATAATTTTTTTACCAAAAAATTCATAATTTTTACTCATTTAATTTTACTCCCTTTATATAATCTTTTTACTAGAAATAAATCTAACATTATAAAAAATTATTTTATATATTATATCTAATTAAATATATATACATTTATAAAATATATTTATGTTTTCATATATTAAATTTATTATTATAATATTAACATACTAATTTATTAATAAATATTTATATTATATAAATAATTATAATCTATAATTTATACTTATTAATATTTTCTTCTTATATTAATATTAAATTTTTTTAATTTAATAGTTATTTTTTTAAAAAAACTTATAAATATTTCTCTTTATAAAAATAATCTATATTAATATACAATGAAAGATTATTAATTTAAATACAAAATAATTATATTAAATTTATATTTTAATTATAAATAAATATTATTAATTTATAATTTCAAATTAATATTATAATTACCTATCTACATTATTAAAGATTATAAGAATAATTATTTTCTCCTTATTTAAATTTTTTCATATTTATCGTGTATGTTCTATAATATATGACATATCTTAAATACTTTATTAATTAGGAGAATAATTATTTTCTCCTTATTTAAATTTTTCTATATTTATCGTGTATATTCTATAATATATGACATATCTTAAATACTTTATTAATTAGGAGAATAATTACTTTATTTAAATTTTTATATTTTATTATATATATATATTTAATATAAATATATATATATATATCTTAAAATTTACATCAAATATCAAAAAATTAATGAAATTTTACCTTTAGATTTTTTTTAATTCAATTTAAAGAAAAAATATAATTTTTTTACCAAAAAATTCATAATTTTTACTCATTTAATTTTACTCCCTTTATATAATCTTTTTACTAGAAATAAATCTAACATTATAAAAAATTATTTTATATATTATATCTAATTAAATATATATACATTTATAAAATATATTTATGTTTTCATATATTAAATTTATTATTATAATATTAACATACTAATTTATTAATAAATATTTATATTATATAAATAATTATAATCTATAATTTATACTTATTAATATTTTCTTCTTATATTAATATTAAATTTTTTTAATTTAATAGTTATTTTTTTAAAAAAACTTATAAATATTTCTCTTTATAAAAATAATCTATATTAATATACAATGAAAGATTATTAATTTAAATACAAAATAATTATATTAAATTTATATTTTAATTATAAATAAATATTATTAATTTATAATTTCAAATTAATATTATAATTACCTATCTACATTATTAAAGATTATAAGAATAATTATTTTCTCCTTATTTAAATTTTTTCATATTTATCGTGTATGTTCTATAATATATGACATATCTTAAATACTTTATTAATTAGGAGAATAATTATTTTCTCCTTATTTAAATTTTTTTATATTTATCGTGTATGTTCTATAATATATGACATATCTTAAATACTTTATTAATTAGGAGAATAATTACTTTATTTAAATTTTTATATTTTATTATATATATATATTTAATATAAATATATATATATATATCTTAAAATTTACATCAAATATCAAAAAATTAATGAAATTTTACCTTTAGATTTTTTTTAATTCAATTTAAAGAAAAAAATATAATTTTTTTACCAAAAAATTCATAATTTTTACTCATTTAATTTTACTCCCTTTATATAATCTTTTTACTAGAAATAAATCTAACATTATAAAAAATTATTTTATATATTATATCTAATTAAATATATATACATTTATAAAATATATTTATGTTTTCATATATTAAATTTATTATTATAATATTAACATACTAATTTATTAATAAATATTTATATTATATAAATAATTATAATCTATAATTTATACTTATTAATATTTTCTTCTTATATTAATATTAAATTTTTTTAATTTAATAGTTATTTTTTTAAAAAAACTTATAAATATTTCTCTTTATAAAAATAATCTATATTAATATACAATGAAAGATTATTAATTTAAATACAAAATAATTATATTAAATTTATATTTTAATTATAAATAAATATTATTAATTTATAATTTCAAATTAATATTATAATTACCTATCTACATTATTAAAGATTATAAGAATAATTATTTTCTCCTTATTTAAATTTTTTCATATTTATCGTGTATGTTCTATAATATATGACATATCTTAAATACTTTATTAATTAGGAGAATAATTATTTTCTCCTTATTTAAATTTTTCTATATTTATCGTGTATATTCTATAATATATGACATATCTTAAATACTTTATTAATTAGGAGAATAATTACTTTATTTAAATTTTTATATTTTATTATATATATATATTTAATATAAATATATATATATATATCTTAAAATTTACATCAAATATCAAAAAATTAATGAAATTTTACCTTTAGATTTTTTTTAATTCAATTTAAAGAAAAAAATATAATTTTTTTACCAAAAAATTCATAATTTTTACTCATTTAATTTTACTCCCTTTATATAATCTTTTTACTAGAAATAAATCTAACATTATAAAAAATTATTTTATATATTATATCTAATTAAATATATATACATTTATAAAATATATTTATGTTTTCATATATTAAATTTATTATTATAATATTAACATACTAATTTATTAATAAATATTTATATTATATAAATAATTATAATCTATAATTTATACTTATTAATATTTTCTTCTTATATTAATATTAAATTTTTTTAATTTAATAGTTATTTTTTTAAAAAAACTTATAAATATTTCTCTTTATAAAAATAATCTATATTAATATACAATGAAAGATTATTAATTTAAATACAAAATAATTATATTAAATTTATATTTTAATTATAAATAAATATTATTAATTTATAATTTCAAATTAATATTATAATTACCTATCTACATTATTAAAGATTATAAGAATAATTATTTTCTCCTTATTTAAATTTTTCTATATTTATCGTGTATATTCTATAATATATGACATATCTTAAATACTTTATTAATTAGGAGAATAATTATTTTCTCCTTATTTAAATTTTTCTATATTTATCGTGTATATTCTATAATATATGACATATCTTAAATACTTTATTAATTAGGAGAATAATTACTTTATTTAAATTTTTATATTTTATTATATATATATATTTAATATAAATATATATATATATATCTTAAAATTTACATCAAATATCAAAAAATTAATGAAATTTTACCTTTAGATTTTTTTTAATTCAATTTAAAGAAAAAAATATAATTTTTTTACCAAAAAATTCATAATTTTTACTCATTTAATTTTACTCCCTTTATATAATCTTTTTACTAGAAATAAATCTAACATTATAAAAAATTATTTTATATATTATATCTAATTAAATATATATACATTTATAAAATATATTTATGTTTTCATATATTAAATTTATTATTATAATATTAACATACTAATTTATTAATAAATATTTATATTATATAAATAATTATAATCTATAATTTATACTTATTAATATTTTCTTCTTATATTAATATTAAATTTTTTTAATTTAATAGTTATTTTTTTAAAAAAACTTATAAATATTTCTCTTTATAAAAATAATCTATATTAATATACAATGAAAGATTATTAATTTAAATACAAAATAATTATATTAAATTTATATTTTAATTATAAATAAATATTATTAATTTATAATTTCAAATTAATATTATAATTACCTATCTACATTATTAAAGATTATAAGAATAATTATTTTCTCCTTATTTAAATTTTTTCATATTTATCGTGTATGTTCTATAATATATGACATATCTTAAATACTTTATTAATTAGGAGAATAATTATTTTCTCCTTATTTAAATTTTTCTATATTTATCGTATATATTCTATAATATATGACATATCTTAAATACTTTATTAATTAGGAGAATAATTACTTTATTTAAATTTTTATATTTTATTATATATATATATATTTAATATAAATATATATATATATATCTTAAAATTTACATCAAATATCAAAAAATTAATGAAATTTTACCTTTAGATTTTTTTTAATTCAATTTAAAGAAAAAAATATAATTTTTTTACCAAAAAATTCATAATTTTTACTCATTTAATTTTACTCCCTTTATATAATCTTTTTACTAGAAATAAATCTAACATTATATAAAATATACTCACAATATAAATTATTTAAATCAAAATACAAATATACAATTTTAATAACTTATATTATATATCAAATCCACCATCTATTAAATAAAATTAATATTATATAACACATTTACAAATTTTAATTTTTTTC